TTATTACACTATTATTCTGGTTATTGGATATAATCACAATCACAAGAATATAAAGACTTTACCGTAGTACATCAGAATATTGTCTATTATTATGACAACAAAAGAATATGCCGCACGAAAGCATCCGGATAGCATACAAGATGTGCAGCCAACCATAAGAAGACCTAAAAAGAAAAACACGGAAAAGATGCCATTAATAAACTGGAATCGAATATTTTTAAATGAAGGAGAAAAGCAAAAATTGCAACCAACCAAAAAGTGCAAAGAACAAAGCATAAGAATATCTTTTGCTCAAATCAGATTCATAATGATCAAATTTCATATGACAAGCATACGCATCTCCACAACCACAAGACATGAATCCCTCCAGGAAAGTCTTGTGTCCTATCCACTGCCATCTATTGCAACTACACGTTTATGGGAATGTATTCAATATTCAAAGGTGTCTCTTTTCTTAAGAATCTTTATTTCTCTTGTAAGCATGAACTGAAATGAAGATCTGCCAGTGAACAAATTTACTCAATTTCCTTTTTCATATTCTTACTAATTGAAAAGCTCAAAGGCTGATATTGATCTCGAATAATTTGCCCCATTATCATCTTTCCTATAGATTGGAGAAATGCAAGTTACGCCTCGAGAACTTGAAAACTATTAAACTTGTACCATTTACAGCCAATTCATAATTTACGTCATACAAATGGCATCAAGGAGAACAATAATTCCTGGTTTGGTCACTTAAAATTTCGAAGTAGATGACGTGAATGAAAGATCAGGCGGATACTAACTTCAAGATCATTATAAGTTATTACCTCAACATACATTATGGGCAACCTGGTAAAGTAGCAAAATCTATGCAGAAGCCTGCAAACACCATAAATGCATAAATTAGATAAGGGTTAAAAGAGTCATAAATATGGCAGCAACATCACCAACTATCAGAAAAGAGAAAAGCAGGGACATCAGATACCATTCCCTGGTGCATAGGCATAGTAGTAGCTTGCTGATTATACATTATTTTTATGTTTCCAAACGTTATTTATATTTTGTTTTCTTATCTTTACTAAGAGTAATATTTCTAAACCTTATTAGTACTTCTTAGTTTAACATAAAAAAAAATTATTTGACGCTGTGTAAAATAATTTAAAATTATTTAGTTATTCAATAAAATAATTTCAGAATTCTTCAAATTTTAATTGTATGATTCAATCAAATCTTAGGCATAATCTCTTAAATAATTTTATGAACTTAAGATAATATGAAATAAAAGTTAAAAAATAATTTTAGTTCAAATAATGATATAAAATTTAAAAATATATTATGTAATCATATGAAAATTTACTAATATATAGATTGGTAATACAGACATGTTTAAACAAATCTGATGGGGTCTTTTCAAATGCCTCTCCCAATCAAACTCCATATATCAAAATAAATGTTATATACATGAGAGAGTCACTTTATTATTCAAGAACAAAATATGTTAGAGAATGATACCTAAGATACCTAAATGTGATACCTGGCTTCCTCCAAATTTCTAAATAGACAAATCATCCTAATATGTCAACTCCCAGAAGAAGCTTAACCACAGTTATGCAACTTAGGTGGCTTACTTGCAAGAGTACACTTCTGAAATTAAACATAAGAAAGGAATAGAGAACCAAGCACCAAATGCTTTAAGCTAGATGACAGTGTCATACACCTCCATGGTTGTTCTAGTATTGGGATTTGACTTGGATAGAACAAGTTATTCATCTTGCAAAGATTTTGTCATAATCTAGACTTAGTGGCTGGAAAATATGCAGATATTTTTTCATTACATAATGGATACCTATTTAATGGAACCCACCCTTGTCTACTTGATAAGTCGCTACGACAAGTCATGATGGAAGATGATTTTATTGACCAACCACAAAAAGAGATGTGGCTAGAGCACCTGTTAGATGTCATATTTGTCAAATCTACATGGAAAGAAGCACATACTAGCCTATACACAACC